AAGACAATATATGTTAAGAAAATATATGGTTTTTTTTTTCTTTTCTTAAAATAGAGCATCCAAGCATGCGACATACACGTGTGAACAGCATAGTGATATTTTATTGTACTTTATAAAAATCAGTAATTTTGTTAATTTTTACAATTAAAAACAATTTATTATAGAAAAGTATATTAATTAGATAAGAATTTATTTATTAATAAGAAAAATAGAAGATAATTAAATGTAGTTAATTTCAACATAATTAGAAAATTTAATTTACAATGTTTAAATTGAACTTCATAATTTTTTTATAAGAGTTAAATTATTAAACTAGCATATAAAAAGTCATTTCAACCCGAAGATCATGTATTATTTCATTAAACATTTTTTATGAAGTTTGCGAACTTATCATGTAAAATTTGTTGTGTAATCAGAATAATAAATACAAAAAGTTAGAAAACATCTAACATAATTTAGGCATCCCCTAACACCAACGTTTTGGTTTGTTAGGAAGAAATTATGAATAATTTATTTGAATTTATTTTATTCTATAAATGTTTAAGAGATTATTTGAATAAATTTATAAAATATTTTATGAATAAAGATGTTTTGAGTTTATTTTAATAAGTTATTTAGTATAACTTTTTACTTTAACTTAATTTATATGAGAAATTTTTTTTTGAAAAATATTCAAGTTTGAATCGAATTACTAATGTAAATAATTTTTTTTTATTTTTTCATTCTTTAACTAAAAACTAATTTTATGTTATTTTCATTATTCCTCTCAAAAGTTTTTGTATCTACATATGTATAAGGCAATAAACAAAAACAATTGAATCATAATTCCCTTAATGGGGTTATACATATACCTTATACACATTTATCATCCACTTAAATTATTCAACTGAACACAAAATAACCATGTTTGTCGATTAAGCATTATATACAACAATTTTATTATACCATAAATAACAAGTATAAGATGAGTCACTACTAGCGTGACCATCCATCACCATCCTACTAATCTTATCCTATCTCTATACAAAGTATGATCATTATAGTTTCAACCACTAGGAAAAGAAAGGATAAACTTCTGAAAAAATCAACATAACATTCACAACAACTTGCAACAATACAACATAAACAACTAAATCAACATTCAATATGTAACGTAGAAAAAAAATGTGGCTGATTTAGTAGCCTAGAACGGGTCGTTCCCAATCTGGAACGGGCCGTTCCAAACTATTAAATTGAACTAAAAATCGTGGTTGAGAACGGGCCGTTCTAGAGGGAGAACGGGATGTTCTGGTGGGAGAACGGGCCGTTCTGGATGGAGAACGGGTCGTTCTGGAGGGAGTACGGGTCGTTCTGGATGGAGAACGGACCGTTCTAGATGAGTTCCAGAATGGGCCGTTCTAATTTGAGGACGGACCGTTCTGCATGTGGTTTTTGTACGTGTTGAGGGAGTGCAGAACGGCCTGTTGCGGTTTCGGAACAGGCCGTTCTGGCCACTCCTGAATGTCTATAAATAGAGTTGGAGGGGGGAAGAGGAATGGAGGTTTTTAGAGAGAGGTTTTAGAGAGAAGGACTCTGGACAAGGAAGCTTGATTTGGGTGGATTGAAGTTCCGGGTTGAGCTTTGGAAAAAGGGAATTCCGCTTCTTGGCTATTCTAAGCCAATCTTCAGGTAAGGGAAGCTAGATTGTAAAGTTGTTGGTTGTATGTGAGTTGGGAACTCTTTTGGGTACTTAGGTTGATTAGTATGAGTTGTGTTATGTGATGAAAATATTGTTGGTTGCTAATATTTGATTAAATATTTATTAATGATGTTGTTGCAAAATGCATGTTGTAGTTAAGTTGTGAAGTTGTTTACAAGTTGTGTTGATTTATGATATTGTTGAAGTTGTTTAAAGTTGTTAAATTGCATTAATTTGATATTTTAATGACTATAATTGTTTAATTAAGTTGTTTGCATATTAAAATTATCAAGGTTGTATAGTTGTATAATTACATAGAGATACATGTTGAGTATAGAGTTGAAAGTTGTTATGTTGTCTAAAGTTGTTAAAAGTTGAGATTGATGACTATAGTTGTCTATTGCTGTAAAGTTGTTAAGTTGCTTATTGTTGT